TGAACTTTAAATGTGTCCCACACATTTCTTTAAAATCCTTCCAAAAGTTATGAAGTAGAAAATTATATTTTGAAATGTTATTTTATGAAAGTATTTCCTACACATCAAAACTGATGACCGAAAAAACAACACAGCATCTAACTTGACTGTGGGTTGCTTAATACATTTTGTGTTATATTTTCATTTTTAAGTATTGAACAATTGCAATCCAATAAAATAAAATAAAAATATAAAGTGCTATAAACGATATTGTGGAATATTTCAATTGATGTATTTATTCGGTTGAATTGCTTTTTAATCATCCTTAATGATGAATGAAAAACATATGTAAATGTGAATGTTCTCCACCAAGGAGGAAGTGTTTTCATCAAAGTTTGTTTGCATTACACAAAAACTACTGGACGGATCACCATGAAACTTGTTGGAAAGGTGTGAGATGGGTCAGGGAAGGACAGATCTCAATCAGGGGACGGTTCCAGGAATCAGTTTCCCTTCATTTAACATTGCAAAATAAAGCATTTCTTTTTACATTTTCACTGATTTCTCAGAGAATAATTCACGGATCTTGATAAAGAAAAACAGACATGTTTAGGGGACTGATATTTATAAGTGTGCGCAATTTGGTGCAGCTTAATCACATCTAAGTGGAGTGTTGGGCCTTTGGTGAAGGTATGAGCTCTACTAAGCACCATTCTACTTATTAATATATGAGAAAGCCTTGGTTAACTATTGATAGTTCTGGTGATTTTCCAGGAAGAAGCATCGTGTCTTTCAATCGATAAGTTGCTGACTGCCCAGACTCCTCTCCATTCAGTCAATAATGGAACAGTAAACACTTTTTAAATGGCTCTAATCATACAAAGTAAATGATCCAGTTGTGGAGCCTCTGGCAACTTTATAATGCATGTTTTACAAGCATATACGCTGCTCATCTCAGGCTCTTACTGAAGCATACATAAATCTATACATGCAATCAGTGCACAGTTTCAGATATTTATTATCAGCCGAGTTGTGAAGTGGATCGATGAAGACGCTGAGACAAATATTTACACGCGCACACTAATTTTCCTGTTTTATTATGAGCAGTAACCCATTTTCTCGACAATTCAACTCATGATTTGAAATCATTTCTCATAATTGTTCTGTTGTTCGTCACGTTGGATTGGGTACTGTGGATTTTTATGAGATAATTTGACATCAGTGTGTGTGTGTGTGTGTAGTCCTGTGCTTTCCCTCAACACTGACACACACAAAAAGAGATGAGTGTGTCCAGACTGCGCGACATAAGGAAACAGGCCGATAGACAGATGTGCTCTCCGTCTCCACACAATTGTCATATCTACACGGAGGAGATAGTGTCTCCTTCCTTTTGTCAGACGACCGGGAGAAAAGCTGCATCCTGCCACTGTGGCTGAGTGATAGGCCGGCCCTTTGTAACTGAGGAGCGGGGAGTGAGTGTGTGTGTGTGTGTGTGTGTGTGCGTGTGTGTGTGTGTGTGTGGGAGGGGTCCAGTGATGGGGCGGGAATGCACTCACTACTGGAGCCAACAGCTCCTCAGCAGTGAGTGCATTGTTATCCTCACTCACTATTTTTATAGATGGGAGGTGTGTGTGTGTGTGTGTGTGTGTGTGTGTGTGTGTGTGTGTGTGTGGTAATTAAGCCCACATTGACACTTTGATCCCCTTGATTGTGCATTTGACTGGGCTGGAGATCAGCTACAGTCACACCACTGCCCCCCTCTCCCTCCGCTCTCCATCCCTCCTCCCAACCTGTAACCAGACCCCCCCGCTACCCCTCCACAAAAAATCTCTGTAGATAAAGGTGGCGATTGGTTATCTGGTCAAAAGTTGCCCTGATACTGAAGGAAATTATCCCTGGACTCTATATAATGTGCGAGATAAGAGCGGCAGCGTTTACAGTAAAGACGGCTCAGAGGGGGATTTCTTTTTAAATCTGTAAATCAACCTGCAGATTAGCCGGGTTCTGCAGGGAATTACACTAATCTACATTTAAAAAAACCAAGAGCGCACACTGAGATCAAATAGAAATGTCATGTTCCTTTGAAATAGGCCACTTAAAAAAAGTTCTATATTGAGGGTTTCTGCAGGTTTCACCAAGTTAAATTAAAGACTTTTAAGACCATAATGAATGAAATTTAAGACCAATGTCAAGTACGACCGATGTGAAGTGAATGAACATCAGAGTTCTACAATTACTTTCATAATTGAAGATGAAGTGAAGTATCGTCATCGAGAATAACCCTGGAAACGCGACATTATCTCAGATACACACACAGACAAGCTGATTGTACTGAGATAAATTCTCAGGGTGTTTTTGGTTTTGTTTGTAGTTTTATCGTTTTGTGTTTTATCTGTATAACTGAGAAAGTGCTACAACACACTGAGACATTGTGAACTACGCATGCTGCCTAAACATTTCTCTTAAAAAAATTATTTTAAAGGATGATGGAAGTATCATTAAATAAATATTTACATGATTGAGACTTGATGTATTCAAGAACTAGTGTGTAAAAGTTTTAAATACTAAGGCCTTAGATTACTAAGATTGACTGAATTTCAGACTTTTTAAGATCCTGTGGAAACCCTGTATTGGTTTTAATAGTAATTTCTCACATGTAAAATGTAAAATAAAACTTGTAATAAAAGAGATGCAACACAATAAAAAATCCATATCATGAAATGTTTTATCTGTTGCATGAGCGTCTATTGCTCTCAGACGGATCGACTGATAGATACAGTGTCTGTTAAACTGTGGTTTCCCCACAGCGTTATTCTGTGATTGAGCGAAGGGGCTTGTAAGTGTCACCCTGCCATTATTCCAGATGGACCAAAGCCTCTGCAATTTTCTACCAAACGCAACGAGAAGGTCTGGCTCAACGTCTCATCTTGTGTCATTTGCAGGTAAAGAGGATAATGTGAGGATGCTGACCCGTGTTCGAAAGCCCTCATGTAATCACGAGTGATTACTAATCAATGTGTCAATTACTTCCTTTGGTTACAGTCGGGACATTTAGGAGCGATCCTTACTGCTACTGTGCAGGAATATATGAAAAGAAATAACACAATGATAGTATAGAAAATAAAGGAAATCACAATGAAAGGAGAAAAATAGCAGAAAATCTCAGACTGATTATATAATACTAAATAACAGAATATGAAATCACCTCAGAAAATTGTTGGAGAATTACGTCTCTTGAGATATCTGATGAAATTTTCATCAAATTAATGGTTATCTACGTTGATTGTATGGATGAGCATGAACAAACTTTTATGAGGCAACATTACCCACACGCAATTATGAGCAATAATAATAACAATAATATTCCAGCTTAGACCAAATGCTTTTATATTAAAAAGTACAACGCAGGATTTAAGATTGAATATTATTATAGAAATTGATCACAGAAGTGGAATCATTTAACTGATGAGTTTAAATACAAGAAATAAAACTAGATAATAACTGATTCTAACGTGGTTTATATGACGGTTTATTCACAATATTAGTGTGTATACACTTGATCAAATAAGCCTATATTATCAGTTATTATCTTTTGGGAAACATGTTAATATTTTTTTAATTATCAGTGTTTATTCAATTACACAAATAAATGTACCTGGAACTGAATGAACGAATTTTCCTTTAAAACATTAAACCTGAATATTATTATTTTGAGCAGAATAATCTACACAAACAGGTAAATATCTTTGTTAATAACGATATAATGTCTGTTAACAGCTCCGGCCTCCTTCTCTCTGCTTGTACTGACATCCAAGTACTTTGTTATCTTGTATTATAGCGCCATCTAGTGTTCACAGCAAGACATACTTAAATCGTCCACCGACACTGATTAATTCTATGGTCTTTACACTGATTAAATCTTAACAGCACTGGAGATCAGCGGAAGACAAATAACAACATTGAGTGATACAATGAGGGATTTTACTTACCGAGGGAAAAGAGGGGAAATGTGAGAAAACAAAGATCTGCTCACCTGTTTGATAGGTATGGCCCTTCCACTGCCTATGCTGTCTGTTTTACTGTCAACGCTCTTTGCTTGTTCACTGGCTTTCCGTGACTGCAAGAAAACAAGAAAGTCAAGTCAGCAACTGAAGCGACACACAGAAGACGAGGCAGAGTGGGAGTTTGGGGGAGTGAGCGGAGGGGAGTGTTGGGGTGTGCATGTGTGTGAGGGAGAGAGAGACTGGGGGTCAGAGGAGTGAGGTGAGGAGAGGTTGTTTGTTTGTTTTTTTTTCACTTGGAGCGTTTGCAGTATTTGTGGAGAAACTCGACGTTTGCAAAATAAAAAGTCTCAAAAAGAAGCTCGAAATGAACAGACAAGCAGACCAGCGGAACAAACAGCAGTAACATCGACGTGCAAGTTCAAAAAAGAGGAACTTAAAAAAGAGACCAAACCAAGACCACACTAGACACATCTCAACACAGAGGAGGACGACCACACATTGAGTCATGACTCAGCCCTGAAACCCTTTGTAGGAAGGGGATCCGTCCAGCTCTGTTTGAGACCCAGAGCGGGCCCTTAGTGGACCCATGCAGATCTATATGCTGCTACACCCAGAGCAGCTTCAGTGCAGATGCACTGATAAAGGGCTTTTGCAGCACAAGTAAGTTGCATAAGTTACAAGTCATAACAGGTTAAAGGGAGAAAAGGGGAAAATGGTTATTTCAAGCTTGAGTGCACGTAGCGTCCTCTGACCTGCAAAACCTGCTCGGACATAAAGTTCATTTGCAAATACAAAAACCATTTGAACTTCACAGAAATGCAAAAAATTAAACATGTTAAGTTTCTCTGCAGGAAAAACAAAGTGGTTAGACAGTTAATTATTCAAATTGCATGAATAAAAAATCATGTAAACCTTCCCACCCCGACACAAATAAGGAGATGAGGTACAGGCAGGGACAGACATGAGTGTGTATGGTCTCACTCAGAACATGAGAGATGTCCAGTCACCAATGGAGAAGAGGTAGAGTCTGAGTTCAAGTAAACCAACTCTGGTGTTGATATTTTTTTTCCAACATTTTATTTTTTTTTAATGATGACTTGTTTAGCTTCTATACAGACACCATACAAAGCAAGTCACAAATTCACTTCAAAATATTCAACAGATTGACCCAAACATTGCAGTTCCCACAAAATATAGGATGGACAATAAAGGCATTATTTCATATATTCCTTATATGTATGTACTTTTTATAGAGTACCATTGTAAATAAAATACAATACAAGATATACAGCAGTCTATAGTTTTGTCAATCCGTTCATGATAGAAAAAAGAGATTATGCAAGATTTCATAATCTCTGTACCAAACCTAAATCAAACCCAAATAAACAAATGAAATGAAAACAAGAGAATGTGCAAAAAATAAATAAGTTGAAATAAATAAAAGAGGAAAACAAACGTTAACGGTTAACTACATTCATACAAGTCGGTGCAACCCAGGTTTCATTTGTTGGCAACTTTCAATATAATATCTCTGTAACACCCTGACACACTATGTTTTTATGAAGGCCTTCATAAAATAACCCCAAGTTACTCTAATCTAAAATACCTCTATGATAAACACATTTATACCACATTTTCTTTTTTCATTCAATACTTCAATACTCTCTGGAAAGTAAGAATGACTCAAAACAAAACAAAAACAGACCAAATTAACGTTGGAAAATCTAGAAGGAAGAATAAAAATAACAAAACAACTTGGCACCTCTAGTCCTTGAGTCCTCATTTATGGCAAAAGGCAGTGTGATGTCATGTAAGGAACGGTTGTGTCCTTTTGGCTGGATAACAGTTCCAAGAGTGACTTGAGTGTACAGCGTGGGTTTTTTTTTTTTTCATATGGGATGTCTGAATGACAGTTGGGGTCAGGGGGGGGCAAGAGGTGGACGGGGGGGCAAGGGGTGGACGGGGCGTTTCCAGAAGAGTCCCTACAGTCTGTCTCGCGTGGTGATATTCGACAGTCTACGTTGAGTGCGCTCAAACACTCCCGACTTAAGCCTATGGATTCCATATAGTGCGAGCTCTATGCATTACCCTAAGTGCAAGACAGCAGCGAGGGTAAAGCAGTGACAAGCTCTAAGTCCTCAATCAATAATCTCCTCTCTATCAGGATTGGCAAAGCAGGGGGACTCTTTTGTTTTTAAACCATCATGCTCTTCTAATTCGGAAGGAGTTGGAAAGCCCTTTTTGTTGAAGAAAGGTTGGAAACAGAAGCACAAATCTGCAAATATTGAAAAACAGTGTCAAATGGTTATTTTTTGTTGTTGTTTTTTTTTCATTTTTGAGATCCAGTTACAAGTAAAGGAACTCGAAATATGAAATGGGGGAAACACGGAATGGCGGACATTAATAAATGACTATAAATGAACGGTGGGATGGATTTAAGTATAAAAAACGTTGGAGTATTTTCTCTAAATTCCTCAACAGTGTGCTCTTCAACACAAAAAGGGACGGACAGCCTGAAGACGTCAGGAGACCACAGACAAGTTTGCAAAACAGATTTAAGAGTTTTTGACCATGGAAGCACTAGGAAAGAATAATGCGTACTGTGCTGACACCTAGTGGCCTAGGACAGACATGGTAAAAAACTGGCTTGAAATGACTGGTTGGGGTGAGATTGATTTGTGAGAGTGGTGAGAGACAGAGTGAGAAAATCTTCCGTAGTAAAGCTTTGAGTCTTAATACTTAAAAAACAGCCAAAATATTTTACCTTCAGAAATGATGGGGCTTTTTCATTAAACTGTCTGAGGCTTTTTTCATCAGATTATATTCAGGCCGAAAATCAGACGCAGAAAGTTTTTTCACGAAATAACCGCAAAGGATTTTTTAACTTCAAGAGTCCCAATGCCAGCGCCGTGAAAGTGACAAATTTGACTTTTGAGTCTGATTACATTTGGACGTCTTGTAGCAGTTTTCTCCTTCAACAAAGTTTCTTGAGAATAATGACTTGAGTCTGTTACTGATCCGACAGAGCTCATCTTCTGATGACATTAAGGCATATTTTCTTTCATTGAGAACTCCTCTCCAAAAATCAACAGAGAGTGATGTACTTACAAGAGTGTGGCTAGAAAAAATGGATGTCAGCCTGCGGTTTTTTCGGTGACTCGCAGGACTTATATTTTGTGACACAGAGGTTGGATTTATTTTCAGAATGGACAAAGCTATGACAGGGAAATCCTCGACAATCTTGTGTTGCTGAAATCTTTTCTCTTTCTGTTGTTTGGTAAAACGGCAAAAAAAAGGGTCGGCATTGTGAGTCTTCCTCTCTCCTCAGCCCACCGCACTCTTCAAGTGTCACTGGAGAAATGTCGACATCGCCCTGTTCACTTTTCCTCCCCCGCCTCCTTCCTCTGCTTCCTCCTCCTCTCCTCCCTCACCCACCCTCCCTCCTCCTCCTCCTCCCACCCTCGATTCGCCGCTCCTCAGAAGGTCATGAGCTGAAACTCCCGCTCGGCCTGCCACTCCGGCACCCACACCGGGTAGGTGGCGTGCTTCGGCATCTCCATGATGCGGACGGGGAGAGGCTCATTTCTCTGGTGGACATGGTTAGTCACTACCTAGCAGGGGGGAAGGGAGACAACAAGGGGAAGTAGCACACAGCCTGTACTGCTCAGAAACCACAGAGCATGTGGCTCCCACAGCAGCTGGGGTGATGGGGTGAAGGCAGTGGGAGACAGAGGAGGGAGGGAAAATGATTGGGAGGTTAGAGAAGGGAGTTAGTTTGAAAGAGATGGGGGAGAGAAGGAGGCAGGAGATGGGGTGAGATTGCAACAGGAAATAGGTGAGGAGGAAACAGGTGAAAGAGACAGGTGTGTTTTAGAGGATGGGAGAGGGTCTATTTATCATTGAGGAGTTAGGAAAGATGGAATCTCATGTAGCCTGATCTCCATCTCATAGAGGAAAAAAAGTTCTGATGAAAAACTCAAAAATATGATAAAAATGGGGACAAATTAACTTTTGGAAAACAAGAGTCGGTCTTACAGTCACTTGGGGTTTGAAAATGCATTTGGGAGTTTTTCAAACAAGCTTTTCACACAATTATTTAATAGATTTGAGGATTTGCCATGTTGTGGTAGGATTTCTACGGACCTCTCTAAGCTTGAAGAGGCAGAGGTCCGGCTGCGTGAGATTGAAGGGAAAGTTTTAGCAGCAGAGAAAGAGGCTGGTGTAGGAGAGAGGAGGAGAGAGGGATGCACACTGGGTAGGAGAAGAAGAGGGCAGTCGCTACAAGTAAAAGACAAGCTTGGGACAGCTAAGGAAATTAGGAGTGGTTAGTGCGCACATATGCTTTTGGTTAGAGCAGAGGGAGAATACGACATGGGATGTAGAGCAGGCAGACACGGGGGGGCGGGACACTGGTGTGGTAGTGAATCTCGCAGAGATAGAAGTGAGTGGGGTGAGGATCGGGGGAGTTATCTAGACTCAGCGAGATGGTGAGTGGGCGATTCTATGTCAGAAGGTGCTAGCATGCATTATTAGCAGCATGTAAATGGGCCATATAGGCTGGCTCAGATTTTTTGACTTTAGTTTGGTCAGCAGAGAAGTTTGCAGTTTGTTGCTCCCCATAAGGGAAGTAAATGCAAAGTAAGAGTCTAGTAAAAATAAGAGGGGTTGAGGGGTTGAGGGATTGAGACGGCGCAGAGTGCCCAGTTTGTTTTGGGTGAGATGAGAAACTTAGCCCATGTGCACTTACTACATCCAATTAGAAAAGAAAAAGGACATGAAAAGAGTTGATGGTTTTTTTTTCCACAGTGCTTTCTTTGATATTCCTTTGATCTTTTTTAGGAACATTTTGGGGAGAGAATATAATTTCTATTTTGTATTTTTTTCTCCTTTGCCCATTGTGCTGTGTGAACGAGACGCTTCCATTACCTCCTTCGGAGGCAGGAGAGGTGGCTTGGGTGCATTTCGAGCTACCTGTCTCCCTCTGGTGGACAAAGTGTGCTTGGCAACATGCCTCCTAGTAGTGAGAGTGGGTGTTGCTTTGCATCAGCTGTCGCATACTTACTGTGAAAATGTTGGAGCGGCGCTTCGACTGCTTGCGGATGGGTGTGGGCGTGTTGGAGGCAGCTATGGTCTCAATGCGCATCTCCCGCTGACTTATGCTGGGGGTGGAGGGAACAGAGGAGGAGTAGTCACTGAATGCACCCCCACCATTGGCCGCCTGGGGAGAGAGGGAGATTAAGAGGAACCGACAGAGAGCAGAAGGAGAGAACGAGGGAGGGAGAGAGTGAGAAAGAGAGATTGAAAATCAGAAATGGAGAGTTAATAAAAACAAACAAGCAGGTCAGTTAAGGACAGATTTATTGTGGACAATATCTTTAAAGGTCCAGTAAGTAAGATTTAGGTAAAAGGATCTACTGGCAGAAATGAAATGTAAAATAATCATAGAGAGGTTTCACTAGTGTTTTATCTAAATTGTAAGAATTGTTGTTTTCTTTACCCTAAAATGTTCCTTTTATATTTGAATACTTTATATTTATGTTGCAGAGGGTCCTCAAACTAAAACACCTTTTGAGTTTTTATGACAACTGAAGGCTGCCACAGGTTCTCTTTCATGTTTGAGAGGGGAGGGTGAGGTGAGGGGTATTCAGCTGCAACATGCAACCACACCACTAGATGTCACTAGATTCTACACACTGAACCTTTAATGGACACACATGATAAAAACATCTACATCAACCGAGCGTGCGGTTGTTTGGATTAAACTTATATTGAAGCACAGTGCTGTCTATGAATATTTCCATCTCACCTGGTTAATGTGAACAGAGGGGATGGATGCAGCAGGGACTGATGAGTGGCTGGGAGAGTTAGGGAGAGATTTGCATGGACCAATAGAGAGCTGCTGCTTTTTCCTCATGGCCACAACCTTCTGGGCAACTGAAGGAGAGAGTGGCAAAGACACATGATGCTTTCAACTTCTCATTTGATCAAATAATAACACTTTTTTATAATGAGAAACCAATGAAACAACCGAAACCAGAACGATTCACACATTTCAGCACAGAATACATACTGACTGACTTCTGCCAGCTTGTTATTTAAAAGTCAGACTATTGGAGTGTATCATATTTATTAACCTATATGAAAACATTCATCTTACAGAATAATTAATGCAGAACAGATGTAGTTCTATATGTATTTTCTTGTTTTTTAATTCAAGTTCCACATATGGGCGGCACAGTGATGTCTCCTCACTTTCCTGCACTGAGTCTGCGTGTTCTCCTCGTGCTTGCGTGGGTGCAGTTACTTCAGCTTCCTCCCACAGTCCAAAGACAGACAGTGGTTAGGTTAATTGGAGACTCTAAATTGACCATATGCATGATCTTAACCCTCAAAACGATAAGCGGTAAAGATAATGGATGGAACTAAGTACTATATGCAGTATTTGGTTGTATTTGTGTTTTTTGTTATCTCTAATAAAGTTTTAGGTCAATCTGTAAAATATTGAGAATCAATAAAAAAAAGTTTGTCATAAACATTTGATGATGACATCTTTGGAATCAGCTGATATATTGGCATTGATCAAGCTCTTCTATTAAAAGCATGTAATCTCTTACAGATACCAGCATTAAAGGACCAATCTGCTGAGTCTTATTTGGTAAGAAGATAATATTGATAATCAGTACATTTTGTCTATGGACACATCTGCCTGGTTTTTAGCTTAAATGCTGAATTGCAGCGATGGCATTTTTCTCCTCGTGACATTATGATATTATAGATTTTCACCCTGCTTAGTTTTCTAAGCACACACACACACACACACACACACACACACACACACACACACACACACACACACNAACACACACACACACACACACACACACACACACACACACACACACACACACACACACACACACACACACACACACACAGGATGTTGTAAACAGCAGCTGTACCTGTGGGTAAACTACTGTGTGTTTGCAGATTTTACACAGTGTTTGGAAATGTCAGTCGTGTCCACACTGGGCTGAAATCCAAATGAAAACTATTTTCCATTTTCCCCAGACAGAACGCTATCATGAACCATATTAATCCAATAAAGCACAGCAAAGTAAGCACAGCTAATTCCAGTCAGACGGAGAAGCATATGAGCACATTATCCGAACCACCTCGGGCCATTTGTTTTCCAGTCAGGTAGCGAGCAGCACACTGCTAAATGGCTTATTCATATCTCCGGGGGGAGGAGAAAAGGTACCTCTATTTCCAAGAAGAGTAATCACACCATTTTTTTTGTCTTTCACTCAGCTCTGCGGTGTGATGTTAACCAAATGAGACTATTGTTACCATCCGAACAACCTGATTTGCCGATTTGCAGGCAGTACAATCCGTCATTTAATTCTTTGCACACTCGAGAGAGGGACTGGGTGGAGTGGCGAGAGAGGGAGGCAGTGTTCGCGGGTGCGTGACGTGAATTAGCACTGAGGGGAAAGAGAGATGATTCGAAGTTGTGCCAGCAGCTGGGACCATGATGCCCGGCTGCCTGCTGCAGCGCGGCAGAAAAATACGGAAAAAACGGCGCACGATTCCGAACAACTTCTCCAGCAGACAGCCAACAATCCATCTCTTCTAATCCTTTCAAATTGGGCTTCAGGAAGCAATTAAGGCAGAGAGGGCGGGAGGACAACAGGCCTCTGCACCGACAGTCAATGAAATGCAAAGTGAACATTGTGTTGCATATTCAGATGTTTTGTGGTGGGATGACGGGCTCTCACAGGAGCTGCAGCCTTCAGGGGATGAAGAGCCACAGTTAAAGGAGCCGAGTTTCAAAATGACACTTTCATGACTTCAATTATGGATTCAGGGGAAAAACTAAGGAAGTTTTCAGATTCTTTTAAGAGACATTAAAAGTGTATATCACCATTTATACGCAAATGCATATTACCCAGTCTCTCGCTTGGAGCGGCTCATTTGTATGCAAACCTTCATCATGGGTTTAGCTTCAATAATTACTTGTTCTAGTGTTTGACGATTGTATTGGATTGGATTTAAGACGGCAGCAGCAGAATTAATTGAAGTGAGCCTTTTAATGTTTCCTCTACTGTTCATAAAAGTACGCTGCCAATCACAGCTGCTGAGCATGCAGCACACAGGGAGGTAAGGTATGTGAATCAACCTTCATGTGAGTCAAAGATGCGTGACTCACAAAACTCAAAATACTTTAGACCAACATGAAGGGGAATAAAAATCAACAGCAGTGAATTGTAAAACCTGCTCTACTCATGTTTAACAGACTGACGCAGAAGATTGTAACAGAAATGTTAATTTGAGATTCTATTGATCTAGTATTTTGTCAAAGTGGAGAAGTGATTGATTGGCTGAGAGTTTTTAACTCACCTATCTAGAATTGACCACAAATCCTGTATCCGAGTTGTGTTTACATCCACATCACAAGCTGTGGCTTTGTCAAGAAATCAACCTACAATCTATCAATCCTTCTGAAATAAGATTGATTTAAATATTGTATGATAGTGATCAGTTAAATAAACACAGCTTTCAGTTCAACTGGCTTTAAATAAGGTAATAAACTAGGACTGTCACAAAATTCATTGAGCTTAATTTAAAATAAATCTGTCATATTTAAGGGACTGATCAATGTGTGTGAAATCTGGTGCAACGTGATTGAAATTGACTGTTTGCTCAGGGGGAGGTATGTGCTCTATTAGAGTATCATATCTACATCTGCGAGGTTTAAACCGACACATCTTTGGCACAATTGTTTACGAAAAACTGTCTTAACAGTTAATCAATTATCAAATTAGATTCATATTTTATGAATTGACTAATTGTTTCAGCTCTAGTGAAAACAATGCTCATCAAAGGGAAATAAAAGTCGAGGGCAGCCAACTCATCAAATAGCGTCTCATGTGCCAGTATCACGTTGAAGCTCAACCTTGTTGTTTCCCATCTACCACATGTCGTCCCCATCAAACGCCCCCTCTCACCGTCCTGGAAGACTCTCTCCACGTTCAGGCCGTAGGTGGKGCAGGTCTCGTAGTACGTGCAGCGCTTCAGGTCATTTGACAACTTCCTGGCCCTCGAGTCATCGATCACTCTGGGGTTGGCGGCACTGATTGCATCTGAGAGAAGAGGATAAGAAAATAAATATTACTCAAACCTTTAATATGATGGACAAGGCTGGAGATATTCTATATTTCTGTTAGCATCAATGAGGTGTAAGGTCGTCTGTCTGATCCTGTGGCTCTCACTCTGAAGCTCATTTAATCCTTGGGCCCCAATTATTGTTCAGGAGTGTTTTCAGATACATGTGGTGTGACTCTGCACTACAGAGCTTTGACTGAAATTATATCCTGACAATCAGGCTCGAACACACGTCAGCAGGATCAATCATTGTGGCATTTCACAACAATAAGGAAATTCAAGTAATAGCAGTAAAATGGTGTGAAAATGTCATATCACTGAGGTCAATCATAAGATTATATTGAAGTATTATTGCTGTAGAATTAAAAATATGATGAACATGTTTAAATAAGTACTGATACACTAAATTAAGTAATTTCACCAATTTTGACATTTATCACAAAATATCAAAATGTCTTAAGCTTGCTGAAGAAGTGTGATTATGATGAAAACTTCCTGTTGTGCAGGTTCAATGTGAAAACCTTTAAATGTGAAAAGTTGTGTGTATTGATGATGAGTGTTGGGATAAAATCATTTGTAAATCATTTTCAGAATATAATGATGACTTAGTGTAAAGACGGTGTAAGAACATAGACTACTTCCTGTACAAAGAAAGTATTGCTCAATATCAGAGGAAGCAATATCTTGACAAAGAGAAGTGTGTATCAGATGTAGGGCAGACACCTTGTGTTCCAACGAGGACCATGGGGACCTCAGCTGTGTTCCTGTAGCTGGAGAGGCGCAGAAAGTAATTGTAGACCGTCTGGAAGCTGATCTCATCCTCCAGGCTAAAGACGAAAACCACCGCATCCACCCAGGCAGCAAACTGAGGACAAAGCAGAGGAGGTGACGGTGAAGCACCGTGAAAAATAAAACCTCATTACAGCACGAGAACATTCACACAAATTAGCGATTTGTTTTAGAGCCACCACGCCGCTCTGAAATGTGGTTCGTGTCAGTAACAGTAATGATTGTGTGACGTCACAACTAGTTTGGAGCCAGTGAACCAACAGGCAGCTTGAACTGTTTTAATGCGTAAACTGACACTTCCAGTATCAATGTAATGACAATATATAGAGTTATAAGTGAAAAGGGAAAATTACAATGTGTAGTAGTTAAAGTTTTGAAATGAAAAATATGTTTACGTTCATATAATTATGAATTTTTTTTAAACAAGAAATTGAAGGATTGTGTGGGAAACTATATTCTGTGTTTTGAGCAATTTATTGATTTTTAAAAGGACGATGGGCTGAAACATCAAACATGTATATGAATATAAATAAATCTGAGGTGAGTTGATTTCATGTGTTGCTAGCTTTTCTTTTAATGGAAGTTTACACATACAGACAGAAGGGGGCAGTGTAGCAGCAGGTTGAACACTGGCAGGCCACCATCACCAGGTGGACACTGCCACTGAAGCCTTTTCTGTTTTATGTATCCCCTCCGCTATTATAATCTTGGAATCATTGTGTCTGCTGCATCGCATACATTCATAATCTCCACATATTTTACGATCAAATTGCGGCAAATTGCCCCCCCCCGGCAGAGGAAATCAATCCTAATCACCATCTATTCTCAGACGGAGCCAAGCACAGAGTAGCCCTAACGGTGACAATCAAGTGATAACTATCCCCCTTGTGTTCCCCCACTTCTTCATTCAGCATTCACGTCCACCCAGAGCCCCATAGGGAATGAATGTGGGGCGGGGGGGGATCGAGCCTCCAAGCCACAACTCAGCTCAGCCTCCCTGTGAGTGGGAACATAACAGAGGCCTTTAATTATGCCACTAATTATACAGGCAGCTGACAACTGAGCTGAACTCACTTCTATTCCCCGATCTAACAGGGCGAGATGATGCAAGTGTAAATGTGAGCTCTGGTACCTGTGGCTGCGGCTGCTCGTAGACACAGAATGATGAATTCACACCCAGATCACATGTGACAGGAGACACTGAATCTTATGAATGAAGCCTCCAGCAGGTCGGCTTGTGTTCTCTCTGGGGCTCGCGGCTTATTAGATTCTTATCTAATCTATGGACTGTAGGTGCAGCTTTAAACAGCGATGACAAATGGCTCATAATTAAGAACTGAAACTCCAAAATCAAATACAAAACTCAATAAGCCCTAACAGTCAGGCTTTGCCACATATACCACACATATTTGCTTGTTAGCAAAGTAAATTAAATGTTGAACATTAGTTTTGCTAATAAAAAAAAGGGAAAAGCTAAAAGACTCCCAAGACAGTTGTTTTCCAGTGGTGGGAAATAACTACATTAATTAACTTAAGTCTGGTGCTTGAATCTGTATCAACATTTTATAGTCTTTTGGCTACTTAGAAGGAACAATATATATTTACACTAGAGCTCAACCAATATAGATCTTTGGGCGTTCATACCAATACCAACATTGGGAGTAAGAAATATATATATATATATATATTCATTTCAAATCTTTATGAATAATAAATAATAATAAAGAAATTTTAATATAAAATATTGTTTTTACCCAAATGCTTTTCTTTTATGCATCTGTTATTGTGTAAAACAAATGTTTTCACACCGACTCACATAAACAATGTGACTGAAAAGTCTGTGAAAGGCTCAAATTGGCCAATTTCATCATCAGCTCTAATTTACATCCCAGCGAAATGTGATCCTTTTTGGTTGACGATAAACAGTCGCCTATTTTCACGTTTAGTAGATAAATAGAAACATAAGCTTTTATTTGGGGTCCTGTTTCAAACTACTGGTAAAAACTTTATTCCCACTTCATTAACTTTATTTTGGTCTCTACCATTACCAATATTTTCACCAGCTAGGTGCTAACGGTGCCGGGCAGGTAACATACAGTGATTTCAGTAGCTGCCTCCACTGCATACTACGAGAATCCACCCTGTAAATGAATGGACAGTATCAAAACAAACTACAAAACGCCATAACACTGAGAGGAACAGTGGAACTCAGAGTTACATCTGTGTGAGTTGTCAGATCACATTTGACACAGAAGTTGTTTACACTGCTTTTAATAAAAATGTATTTCAGCAGCTCTAACTAATTTCACTCGAGTTTTTCCATTTTATGCTACTTTCTATCCTACTCTACCGCATTTCAGATAATAACACATTACTTTTATTTGACAGCATTATCTAGTGGTTACTACACCACACAAGTTGTTTATATCAACGTCAAAACACAATCGTGCACGATTGAAAGTGAGAATGAATCTTTCTCCGTCTATATTCAGAAAGTATGGAGACCCATTGTTAAATTGATTTAAGCCCTGGATCATCAGTGTGTGGGAGGTAAGACCCAACCCTCTCTGGAATAAACATGGATCAAGAATAACTGAGTGTATCTGACGGCTGCTCTGTCATTAATCAGGACTGGATTAGTGGGAAGGAATTCCTCCATTTATCATTCATCATCCAATTGAAGAAGCACAGACCGACTGATCGCATTATCAATAACATCCCACTCTTCATATTTCACATAGTAATGGGACCATTATCTGCTGCTTGGTCCCTTTGATCACGCACACAAACAAAAAAGGGCTCAGATTGCTCATTGATCTGTTGCTGCCCTTTAAGTGCTTTAGGAAGAACGACCACAGAGCAGCGTCACATTGCTCCAGACAGTCCTGCAGTGAAGTGACGCTGTGTCTCTGAACAGGTCCCATCTGCATCACAGTTTGCAGGAACAACAGTCATACCTGCAGCTCTGGAGGGCCTCCTTCATCTCTGATCAGAAGGAGGTAGCTCTGTCCATCCACGACGATTTCTTTCTTGAACCGTCCACCTGATGAAGACAAGAAGAGATATTTATTTCAAGAGTCAATTCTAATTACATGTTGTGTATGGCCCAGTACGTAACTTTGGCCACTGGGGGTCTCTTGATCAAAACAACAAGAGACCGAGTTGGAAGACGTTTTGGTCTTCACCACCATCGCAGATGAAAATCTGTTGAGACTCACCGATATATAATGTTTTATTTACGTTAGTGGCAGATCTAGGATATTTCTTAATCAGGGGGCATGAAGGAGCCACAATTTACACAGAGGAGCCAATTATATGTTTAACATCCGTGCACAATTCCTGATTCAGTAAGGTCCACATTTATGTCATTCCTTGTTTATTGTTAGCTCTGTAGCTTTGAGCTGAACCTGTTTCCTTGTTCAAGCACCAGCCAGCTTAGAAATAAAGATTCTAAACAAATTGTCTTTTTTATTCATTTCTTGGTAAGTGACTATTTGAATGACTACTGACAGGAAAGGGGCCAAACAGCAATGAATAATCGTCATTCATTACTAGTGACCAATTCAAACATTGGTTAGCTAACTGACTAGTGGAGTGTTTTTCCTTCGTCATATGTCGGTTTCCCTGTAAGTTAGTCAGTAACAGAGACGAGCAAAGCCCCAGGTAACGTATATGTGACACAATTAAAAGGCGACCAACGTGACACATCCCGTTCCCTTAAATATATTCAGGGATTTCTTGTTTTGATTTCTAGCATTGTTGAAAACATTTAGGCTAATTTAAGTACACCTATCAACCCATATATAACATAGGTCTAGTCATTTCTAGTCACTTAATGGAAAATTGTAACATATTTTATTTTTAAATCATAAAATAAACCAAATTTCAACATCAAAACACAGCTCAACATGTCTAAGAAAAAGTTTGGTGAAGTGAGTTAAACTGCAGCTTCTTGATTTTCCTCAAAGTGTTGCCGTTATGATCATATACCGACGGGAAGCCAGGTCTCTCTGGAGCCAATTATACGGACGAGAAATCCCCGTTTAGCATGTCTAATGCACAGCTGCTGAGGGAACGAGTTCAGCGCCACCGCCGCGAGTCCTGGAAAGACCCAGCTCTCACTTTACAAACACGATCAGGCTGCATATACGCTGTCTCCATCACTTCACTGAGTGAGCTGGAAGATTTTATCAACAGAAGTCATTACACTTATGAAATGATAAGAATATTGGAATAAAAGTAACGCTGGGATTAAAAAGAGAGGGAGGGAATCAATGGGAGACAAAATCAGAAATCTTCTGAGCTGGTGTGCCTCATGTCAAACCATGTCCACAGGGTAGTAGTGAGGAGCTGACACTTGGCGGCAACTGAGTGTTATCCATTCTGCATTTCCTTTAATGCATATTCCTTGCCCCTAGTAACGCTGGCTGCAGATAAACAGCAGACCAATGGAAGAACGCAATAAATCAGATTTTGCATATAATCGGAGTAGTTTTCGATCCTCTGGGGATTAAGAACATTTAAATTAGAAAGCATTGGTAACTGTGCATCATGAATGGGAAATATGATTAAAAAATTAGGACATGTATAAAAGGCAACAGGAAATTACACCTGCTACATGTTTCCAAGGGTTTCATAAGCAGATATATTTGCTCACATCATAGGAGAGATAAAGGGAAAATACAGTAGCCAGTCCCTCATTTTTAATAAGCAGAAAGATTTCCTAACTGAACAAGCAAATACATATCACTTGTGCCACGCTTCCACCCTGTTAACTCCACTTTAACCTGCTTGGCAAATGGGGGACTCTCCCAGCCTTTTGCACAGGCTCCGAGCCCTGGTGGATGCTGGTTGTGTAACAGAGAGAGAGTGAGATAGAGAGAAATTCATGAAAAGCCAGCCAGCTTCTTTTCTCTCTCTCTTCCACTGAACTCACAGAGCTTTGGAGATTCAGACAAAGGACTGAGAAACTATGTGTCTGTGCGTCTCTGAATCCTGCTTAACAGGAGAGAAAAGATGAGGAGGATCTCATCACGGCGAGAACAGATTTAACACAGTTTGTGTGGACGCTGGCAGCTCGTACTGCATGTCACGCCGGAGAAGCCTCACTGAAACCAGTTTGTTTAACGAAGGCGTGCGGCTGCGGCGGAAACACGCGTGGAATCTGAAGCAAATATTTCAGTTACATAATCACCCAGGATGCTGTTGTCTTAATTTAGAGCCGAGCTGATACAATGCTTCTGAAAAGAAAAGCTGCGCTGGGAGTAAAATGTAGCACACTGCCACGCTCTGCTCTTCCTCCGACATGGGGAGAAGTAATGATGAATAATTTATATATGTTGTTAAAGCTCACATTAAAACAAGGCGACTAATAACCGTGCCTACGGAGACAGTAAGTTGGTAGGCACGGTTAACACACAGTGAGCACACAGCTTCTGACGAGGCTTAGACCTTGACACAGAGCCACAGTCTGACAGAGCTCCATCCGGTGTTGCCATGGCAACACACCCCAGTACCTTTTTTCAGATATCATAGCAAAAGCCCAGGAACAAAACACTGACGAAAAAACAACACGCACGCACGCACGCACACACACACACACAGCCATGGCTGTTGAACCTTCTTCCGCTGGGCGAAGCTTTCTGCAATGCTAACGCCCAACCTCAAGTGCAGCCACGTGTCAAAGCACATTTAAAGCAAAGAGCAGCTGCTAATCATGAGACAGGTATGTTGTATCACAGCAACACGCCACCGTGCAAAAGCGCACGTTTGTTCCTTGATTACAGCAACAACGCTCGCTCTGTTTTTCCAGCATTTCCACCATTGATTTCTCGAGGACTAATTAAGCTATGAACATTTTCCTCCCTTGGTGCAGTGAAATGCCAGAAACTAATTATGCACTTCATGTCTCATCCTCGCTATAATTACTCGAAAAAATGAAACACTGCAAACCCCTCAAAGATCATCAGCTAAGTCTGGGTTTGCCAACATCTTTGGGCATTTTCGAAGAGGAGGACGTACCTTCCGGGGGCCAGAAGGGGGCGTTCTCATGCTGATAAATTATACGATATCAGATTTTCAAATCTTAACAAGTTAAATACAACCAGGAGGAGGTCTCTTCCTGCAGATGGGACATTCTAAACATGTTAAACTGGCTCATTCTCCATCAGGACACCCAGGAAGAAAATGCTTTACAGCTGTGATAAAAATCTTTCATCTACAGTCTCAGAGAATTGATGGAGTTCAGTTTTACCTTCATGCGGAACCTTCACGGCCCTAATTTACTGGAAAAGTCACGCTTCATCATTATCTCACCAGTGATAGTGGAGGCACCAAAAGAAATATCAAGCCGCACCAATTATAAATCTTGGCATCCGGAAGCTTGATATAATCAAACACACAATATTTTTATTACAAGCAAATTAGAAAAAGGCAAACTGGTGCCATCCGTCGTGTAAACATCTTAATACACACGTTCTAATAAAGCTATCCATCTGAACAGTGGAGCAGTCAGTGCCAACTTGACTTTATTCTGGTGAAAAACAAAAGAAAGCTAATTTAGCAGTCAGCAGGCTTCTGTATAATTAGAATTTTGAAAAGCATCATCAGAAGACATCATCAAGCCTCACGTCACTTCACTTCCTGTATCAGTAAAATGTTATTTCACACAAGCTGTGAGGTAAATAGCGTGACATTAAGGTTTACGGAGCCACACTTCACTTTGTAATTTAATCAGCTCCTGCTGACCCACACCTCCAGCAGACTCTTACCTTCGGGAGACTCCTCCTGCACATATGTGCCTGTCAGGTACCGGTGCACCAAGGCCGACTTCCCACTGGACAGATTCCCCACAATGCCCTGCAAAGCGGAGAACAGAAATACACTGAGTATGACGTGATCACACCAGAGTAAGGAGACATAAAGGACCATAATGGTGACCTGGAAAAAAAATGAAACTGTCTCAGCACAAGGTGTTCCTGAAGCTTTCAGCCCTGCTCAGCAATTTCCTCCACTGAGCGAGGCCACGAATTGTGTCTGAAGACTTTGTAAATACAAAGTAAGCCGACCTCTTTTTGTCAAGCTCCTTCCCATGTCAAGAGTGGACATTTACGATCAATGATAAAAGTGGTTCCGCAGTTTTTAGCCCATTATCGACTTTTTATAACGGTCAACCACTAAAACAATTGCATCTAAGAAACAGAATCATGTTTAATGGACAAAGTGACAAATATTAAATCTTCACCTTCACTGCTCCATATCAGCAGTTTTGCTGTACTGCCTCTGGCAAGTATCACTTTCAGAGCGTCAAAGAAGAAATGATTTCCGGTAGAGAAGCGTTAGTAAGAGCTAGCTGAAATACCGTGGTAATCTTTCATGCTCTAAAGTTCCACATTAAAAAGGTGTTAAAGATGTTCATTTTGAGGGGTGGCTCTAGTGTTGCTAATTACAACACGACAATGGCAATCATCACTTCCATACAGGGTCAGCAGCATACAGAAAACACATTATGTCAGTTCTTATTTTCTAAGGTATCTCAAAACATCGCACCTTTTGTGTCCGTGTACTTGGGTAACCTTTGTATGGCCACTTTAAAGCCATTAATATAATTATTTATTCATCAGCGTGGTGTATGATGTGCAAAATGAATAATGGCCCAATTTTAAAACCTCAAATAATCCATATTAGTATCTGCCTCAGAATTGCAGCCTTACTCGGGATGTAATTATCTTTTAGAGTAATGCAACTTTTACTCAAAATAAAAACAGAACTTGCTGCAAATCAAATCAAAAGTACTGTATGCTTAGAAAAAGGTGGGCAGTGATGGAAAGTACTTTTGTTTTGTGGTCGAGGAACAGAACCATCAAAGTGGCGGTGTTGCCCTTCACAGAGGCTGTGTGAGGTCGAATCATTATGAGGAAAGTCCTGTGGAAAACATTGATTTGGTTGCAACCTCTTCCCTCCTTCCTCTCCCTGGTGTCCGGACTGAGCCCAACTACTGCAGCGCCTTCAGGGTGATGCATGGTGGAGGGTGGGTCGATGATGCCAGCATGTCTGGGAAGAACAAAGGCTGCAACATGCCTCATCCCCTCCCTTTGCCTCCTCCTCCTTCTCCTTCTCCTCCCACCATCACCCTCCTCCTCTTCGGATCATTAGTGGGTGTTAAAGTCAGGTATGGTTCTAATTATAGGGACGTGTGAGGCACAGAACAGATCTGTTTCAGGTCCTTCCAAGTCGACCCACTCCATAATTGAAGTGCATGTATCGAGAGGTTCCCCCAGAAGAATTAACTACGCATAAGCTTTAAGTTAGCAAAAGTTGTCGGCTTTGTGCCGTGAAAGCAATGAGTCAACAAAAATCGACTTGAAACGTCGAGCAGATCCAGTGTTCATGCTGTTTTTACTGCTCGGCTTTGTAACCTGCTGCTATATAGGCTTCATGAAATCAAATTGCTTCATCAGCACAAAGCTTTTACTCTCTTTCAACTCTGATGTGGGAATGTAAGTGTGGATTTCAAAGGATGACAATCACGCAAAGGTTTGATCACAGTTAAGTTGCCATCGTGAAAGTACAAGAGCAGGGTGTAGCTGCACAGCTGGAGCAGATGTTTGAGAGGATTTCTCATCATTTCAAATAATCATTTGACCCCAGTTGCGATCACTATTATCTCAATGGCAGGAAAAAGACGAAACTGACTCTGCTATCTTATTTTAAAAAATAAAAGCCTCTGTTCAGTGGGACCTTATCGCTGAGCAGCAACTCTGTGAAAGTTGAATCATCGCAACACTTAATTCAGTCTTTCCAGGTCCATTTAGCAAGCCCCTGTGCGGAAGCTGCCAATTAACACTGTAGAAATATAAAAGGAAACTGAAGCATTTCAAGTGTTAGAAAGAAGAAAGAAGCAAGTCTGTCTTTGCGCTCACAGCTGTGACCCCCCCCCTTTTTTTTATGTCATTGAAGTTTTCTCATTTGCAAGGTGCTGCAACAATGAATTCACCTAACATGGAATTATCATTTCAACTGGCAGAACGATAGAGAGCAGGGTTAAAGGCAGCTCGTCTTTATGGGTGGGAGACAATAAACCATGTGATGACGTTAGCTGCACATTTGGCATTGGCTCTGTGTGTATGTGTGTGTGTTTCACTGGCTGGTGGGATCAGACCCAGGATGTGTCACTAGTCTCGCCCAAAACTGTCACTCATCTCGTGTCCTGCTGCAAGCCACCCTGCATCTCCATGCCAACGCATCTCATTAAAAATCACCCACTATACGAGCCAGGGAGGAAAGGTCCGGCCAGTTCTCTCTCATGCAAAATGCAGAACCAGTTTAACGTGGACGGAAAACGTGCTTTCCCACCGACTGACGCTGAAATCTCTCGTCAGCGAGATGAAACCTTGCGAGTGGGCGAATCGACAGAGGGACAGTTAGAAATAAGAAATGTTCTCTCACCACTTTCAGCTCTGGCACTGACCGACTCAATGTCCACTCTTGACTGTTGACGAAAGAGTCTGAAAAGAGAAAAGAGGACAGAAATCAAGTTACTTCAAGCAGCAGTTTCCCGTCTGACCCCAGCTGCAGGTACAACAGTATTTCCCACTGGATGTTGGCGAAGTGTCTTTGCAGCTGCAGGTTATACACCACATTAGAGTGTGCAACAAGTTATGTGATTGATTGTTCAGCTGTAAAACAGATATGACGAAGACTCTGCAGTCTTGTCACGTATTTAGTACTTTTCCACCCACAGGAGGAATCATTTTTTGTGATACTTTTTTAACACAATGTCCTGATTTCCCCTCGTTTTTTATGGATTGTGACATATTTGAAAGGCCGTGCTGCTCCAGGCTTACTGAGGTTGGAGGATAACATGGTTTGGAAAACATTGCTTTTCAACCTGGTGCACTTTGACCTTTATTTCTGCCACAACCTCAGGGCCAACTGATTCCCTCGAGAAGCCATTTTTATATTCATGTCCTTTTTTGCCATGAAATATTTGAGCAGCGTGAACAAAAATACATCAGAGGTGCAATTAAAAGACAATTAATAAATCAACAGGATATTAATAAGCAACTATTTTGACAAACGATTCAAGCATCATCAATCAATTAGAGATATTTTTTTTTTTTACAATTAATAACATTTTATCAATGACATCATTAATTGAGTCAACTGCAGATAACCAAACACTTTATTTAGTCTCTATCTCCCTCACTAATTTGCTCAGGTTTGTTACAATCTGCATTTAGTTTGTGTTGGTGAGCAGAATTTCTCAAAAACTGCAGCACAGATTACCACGAAACTCGGTGGAAGGATGCAGTATGGGTCAGGAGAGAACCAATAACATTTTGGTGTGGAGCCGGATCACATGTCTGATCACACTGTGATATTTATGAGTGTGAAATCTGGGGCATCTTGATTGAATTTAAGGGGACTGTTGGATGTACATGCTTTATACCAAGTACCATTCTACAACTTAACAACTTAACACACACAAAACTGCCAAGAAGAACTTGCAAAACACCAACGTTAGCACAATCTATGCAGGCAATCTCAATGTAAGGTTTCAACACAGAGCCATCCCTGAGGAGGATTTAGCTAATCCTTTTCATAGACACCTATTAACAGGCCTGATTCAACTTGTAGGCTGCTTGCTAGTGACATTTGGAGACTTGATTATAAGGCTTTAGAAATGGGCAGTGGGAGAGAGCACTCTAAAGAACAACACAAACCGTCAGAAGTAAAAAAATTAATACAAACTCTGCTGCCAGTTTCCCACAGAGATGGAGCACGCGCTTCTGAGTCATAACAACCATTAAGAACGAAGGCCACCTTCCTGTTTTGGATCATGGCTCTAAACCCTCCAAGAAGAAGATGCTATCTCTAATTCAGAGGTGTAGACTTCCTGTCTCCAGGTAACAAGGTGTGCGGTACCCCCCCACCCCACACACCCCCAGGTTTAAACCATAACAATTAAAGTTTAAATCCATCCTACAGGGGGCCGTCATTACTGTAAGCCTGTTTGTGGCAGCAGTAGTGGTTTTCCTTTGGGCCCAGGAAAATGACAATATGAATAGAGTAATAGTGTAAACAGTTCAGTATCTGTGGTCACTGTGAGAAACATTTGTGTTTTGTCTATATGATTTATGCTAAAAGCGCATGGGCTGTGACTCACAGCTAAACAGACCTGAGCCAAACATTCCATTACCTACTACAATTAGAGTAAAAAGCCCCTCCGCTAAAATGTTTACGTATTTTCTGACCTCCATTTACAAAGAGCTTTGTGTGCCGCTCTGTACGTCTCACTTGTCATGGGAGGGGAGATGAGTGAATCCCAAAGAGAAGAAGAGGCCTTCCACCGCCATTTGAGCGTGGGGCAGAGTATTGTCTCCTTTAAACAACACGTGCTTCGTGTCGAGCCGTCTCCGTGCAGCTCGGACATGTCAGGACATGAGTGAAGGCGCTCATCTGATTCGGTTTTAAAGATCAGGAAACAATGCAGGTCACGGCTCTCTGAGTAGATATCAGATGAAAGGTCTCATTTCCTTGGATTTCCTGTCCTTTTGTAAACTTCCATTATTACCATTATATGACAATTTTCATTTATGGCAAGTGAATCTTTTCCGTTACATAATTGGAGGGTTGGTAAAGATGAAAAAGTCACAACTAACAATTACAAAAACACACTGGAGGGTTCCAGTATTTAGCGTTCGCTGCGGTAACCCAACATTAACACAGAGGCAACTAGAATAGCCCTCAGTAGAGCGCACACTTACACCAAAGCCCAAAAGTCCTCTGAAATACAAACGGCAGCAAATTTCACACACTCATAGTTATGAGTCCCCTAAATAAGCCTGATTTGTTTCATGTAGATCCATAAATTACTTCCTGGGAAATTGGTTAAAACATCCAAAAACCTGAAACGCCCTATCTCCCAATGTTAAAAAATCCTAGATCCGCACCAAAATGTAAAGGGTTCTTCCCTGACCAGTACAGACTCATTCAAACTTTAGTAGTGATCTGTCCTTTAGTGAAGCTGCCAACTTCCAGACAAACAAACACAGATAAAAACAGAACAGAAGAATAAATCACAAGTTTTTCTCACATTTCTCCTAATCAGACTTTCAAACGGGGACAAATTCAATCAAAGACCAGTTCATTGAAAACCACGTAGGGAAACCGAGTGTCATCAAAGCCTCCACAGGAATTGAATCTTTGCTCTGCTGACGAGCAACTGCATGTGTGGCACAGCACATTCCCTCATCGCTGATCATAACAACACCACTTATGCTTTCAAGGACATAAAAAGAAATGAGGATCTCTTACGCAAAATTGCACAAGACTTAACAAAAATCAATTCTCACACTATTAAAAGTGTATTTTATTTTTCGTCAGACAAACCTTCAACATTGGAAACATGCGCGACTCGCTGCCATCTTTAGAAGCAACAGTACAACCACTTTGGTCGCCCACTAGAGGAAAAAAAGCCCAAATTGAATCCATGTGCTCCGTGTTACGTCATCCTTTAAATATGAGCATCCCCACATTACCGTGTCCCAGAATGCAGATAGAAACAGAAAGCCCACAGCGTGTGCGGCGCTCACAGAGGACACCAGTGTCTTTGTCTCTGCAAGGGGAAAAATTGTGCTGCCAGCTTGTTTGTCAGGTTTTTCACTCCACTGCTCATGTCTACTCACATAAAAATGACCGTTCAGTCTGAAGGTAGTGGAGCACAATCAACCCCCCAAGCCCCCTCCTCAAATTTCATTTCACAAGAAATGAAAATGCAATGCGAGCAGAAACCCATGCACACATGGTTATTTGAGTGCGGGTGCATGCACACACATGCATGCGTTGCCTACGTGCGGTGACTCTGGAGTGGTTTTGGGAATGAGAGGGGACAAGTTTGAGGTCGAAAACTTCCACTCCAGCTCTAACTGACTTTCCGACCATGCGTTCCCACCGTCATAAATTACAGAGCGTGATCTTAGCTGGCAATTAGTAATTCTACTTCCCCCGATTTGCCAACCTCATGACCAACCAACATTCCTAGGTCTGTCTACTTTTATCATGCACGTCTTTACAAAATGGTTCCATAGCATCTTCTTTGTGTGTGTCACCCTCAAAGACATTTTCAGACATAAACTCCATAAAATGTCCGGACAATTGGGTCCAGAACAACGCAGGTCCTTGGTGGAACACAGCAGGAGATTCTTAGAGTGCACAACAGGGAAATCTACAGAGCATTCAGGTGACGGGTGGATGGGTAGAACATGTAGGAGGCAGGAAATTACGTTTTAATTCCGCTGCAGAAATCACATGTTTTGTTTAAGTCAATTGTGGCGTCGACCTTTCCTAGTTCTTTTTCAACCCAAAATATTAGTGTTCTTTTTGGTCATTTCAGTTTCGTGTTTGTCGTGTGTTAGAAAAATCATCAATGCTGTCCAGCTGTATTCTCACATGGGCTAACTCTCACACATTAGAGTTTTTGCGAAGTAGCTAGAGCAGGAAAAACTCTGCAGCTTAATATACACAGTGAACATCACAGTTAGAGCTTGTATGTCTATTCCACCTGGCTCCCAAACATCACTCTGTTATCTTCATCAAAGGAGGTAGGTGAGGTAAACAATCACCAGAGAACAAGGTAAAAACATTTATGCCGTGCCAGTCTAATGCGGCCTGGACGCTCTGCCCTACTTAAAGCTCTTAAATCCTTGTGTTGTCTGCAAGATGAGCATTGATCACTTCCCCTGAAAATAAATTGGACATCCTGCTTCAAACACCATTCTAATTTAACACGAGCTTTGCAAATGGGGTTTTCAAGACATGTTGCAAAACAATGCTCAGGTTGATCGACTCAATTTGCGGAGCTTAGTGAGAAATGTGTCTGATTTAGCTCATCTGGTTAGGGACAAAAAACAGGACAAGAGAACAAAGTAAAGGAAACAATCAACCACAGATTCAGACACCTACAATTTTCGTACCCAACTGCAGCTCCCAGCAGATTCAACTGTCAGACTTGTTATTAAAAGCTGGTTCTAGATGGGAGAACACCACGATGCTACTCATCAACTAAAATGTAGAACTAAATGTACCCGAGAGGAGACTTTCAGTGGCACATGCTCAAATACAAATTATATTTGGATATTTTCAGATTTCCCTCCACTCATGTCCAGACTGTGTGTCACTGATTTCATCTGCTTGTTTGTGAGTTAACAGGATTAGTCAAGAACTACTAGATTTCCATGACATTTTGTCTGGGGGGGGGGGTGACCCAAGGAAGAACTTCATTACATTTTGGTGCGGATGTGGATCAGGGGGCGGATGTCACTTTATGATATGGGGTGATTTTCTAACTTTTTGTTAATTCATCAGAGAATTAATCATGTGTATTGACACATTTTTTCATCATGTTAAGAGAACTGATATTTATGAGTGTGTATAATTTGGTCCACATCTAGTGAATTTAAATGTGGATTCATAAGAGGACTGTTTTTTTTTTGTTGCCATCTGATTAAAGATAAAGGAGGATGGATCACACATATGATGGCTCGTCTTCAACTTGTCATAATGGCAATGCATTGACCCCCGACAATCAGACTTATTACAGAGTTAAATCCCCATCCTTAAAGTCCCATTTTCAGCATTTGACCTCTAGATAAGTGCACTGCTCAGCCCCGATGCCTCCCAACCAGCGACCCCTGCTCCAGCTCATCTATCACCAGAGCGAGCCCCCATCTCACCACACAGTTCACTGATCACTCATGCATCAACAGGCACAACAGAGTTGCTTTGTTCATCTACAGGTGGGGGTGGGGACGCAGTCTGCACACCTCAAACCCCTTTCCCCTGTCACCACCCCTCCCCCAGTCCACACTAACCCACTCACAAGTTATCATCAGGACACATTTAACTGAGTGTGTGTGCACATGTGTGTGTTTAGCGGTGGGAGGGCAGGGCTTCAGCTTTCTGGATTCAATTTAGGAGCAAACACTTAAGCAAGTAGCAACAGGCACAGAGTCCCACCCAGGGCATTGAACGCTTCACTTTACTCAAGCTAATCGGCACTCCTACATTCCTAGAGCCTGACTGACTGACTGCGCAGGGGGATAAATGGATATATACAACTCGACGCTGCACAACAAAGGTGCAGGTATCCTTGGCAACATGTCATCCACAAATACAAATAGACTGCAACAACACAGTTGACCTCAGGACCCATTACAAGCTCCACATTGGCTGGAGAATTACATATCTGCTCGGCTGGCTCAAAGGTTGGCTTAATGAGAAAGAATCCAGCACATGTGCAACCAGACGGCGGAAGAAGTCATTAAGTTGTCACGGACGACTAATTAGGCCTTTTTGCGTGACGTCGTGAAATTGGAGCTTAACACAGAAATGGAGCAAATCACACCTTTTAATTCACGGTTACAAATATTTGCCTCTCTCTCCAAGCTCTTCCAGGCAACTGGACAAACACACTCCACTGTCAGAGTTAACCTTTAAACACAGTGCTTAAGTCCTCTTCTCTTCTCCCCATCATTATAGCATGTAAGCCCTCTTAATTTAGCCCTGCTCAGCTGCCAAACGCATCCCCATCACGGCCACTAACTGCTTTAATGCTACTGCTTAAAGCTGCGTCCCTGCGCAGCCAGCAGACAGCATTGTCCAGTTGCCTTTGTCCTGTGTTGGGTGACACAGAGACAGTACTGGGGCTGTGCCACAGTAAAACAAACCATTATAATGTGTCCTTATCAGTCATCTGGTGATTCAAGTTCACTGTGCTTGCCTACTCATTTACTTCAGTTGAAAAACTCTTATGTAAAGCAAAGTAATTGCTGTGTTAGTTCATACACAGGCGGTTCACAACACTGGGAAATGAAGTAGCCCCCAAAATAGAAATTCCAAAAGGACTCTCTGGAACCAGACGTTTTTGAACGTCGTCCAAACTCACAATTCCCCATGTGTTTTTCATTTGCCTGTCCGTCTAAAGAAAAAAAGGAAGAAGAGGGGAAAAAAATGAGCACATTTCCGTGTTTCTCTTGAGCTGTGACTTTCTGTGCAGTGAACGAGGAGCTAAAATGTGAAGAAGGGAACAGAGAAATAAATTCAGCAATCTTGCAGGTCTTACCTTGACCTTTGTGGGAGTCAATGCCTACAGGAGTCTCTATGGCGACTGGCTGAGACTTATTATTCACAGCCAGGGGGTACTGGCCAGTGTTTTTGCTCTGGGACTGCTGAGATTCACTTTTGCCACTGTATGGCTGCTCTTTCCTCCTGAAGCGGTTGGCTATGAGCTGCCATAAGCTTGGTTCTTCCTGAACTGGTTTGGAGGACAGTTTTGTTGGACACAGAGGGACCTCCATTACCTTGACCTTCCCTCTGCTGTGATACTCAATGTACTGCATGCCCCCATCCTCTATTTGCTCACTAGTGGTTGGGAGCGTTCTCCCTGTGAGGTACGAGAAAGGTCGTGGAGGCATTGTTGTTTCCTCAGCCGTACTTTTAGTCCGAGAGCCTTCCTTTGACTCCCCCTCAGAACCGAAAGTAGCTTTGTCCCGGGGCCGAGTCCTCCTGATTCGCAGACTGAGGCTCCGTCTTAAAGAGCTCAATGTACTTTTTGGAGCATCAGTCTTGTTGACTTTGGGAGAAGACTTTGTTTCTTTATCACTGTCCTTCTCCTTGCTCTTATCTTGGGGTGCTTTACCAAACAGCCTCCATCGGAAGCCCCCTTTGAGAAAACCTCCATCACTGCCTGTGTGGCTGCAGCTCCTCTGACTGTCTATCTCATCATCAGACCCCCTCTTTCTTAGCTCCAGTACTGTCATACTGACAGGCCTGGGCTTCCAGTTTCTCTGGCGGACCCTAGGGGTCACCTCTGCAGTGATTAAGGGCCGCTGAACTAGGACAGAACTGAGGCCATCCACTGCCCTCAGCTCAGCCTTCCTGCTACGGTACTGCAGGTTGTCTTCTACAATACCTTCCCTCCTGAGGGGTTGTTGGGTCGCCAACAGAACTGGGCCTGGGCCTGCCAGCATGCATACACTCCTGGGCCTCCGCAGCAGTCGTTCTTGTTCAGGTTGAGAATCTCCTTGCTGCTTGAGTGGATCGCCATACATGCTCACCGTTCTCCTGCTGACCGGGGCTTCATCCTGACGCGGCCTTCGCAATAAGGCCCGCGGCAGAGAGCTGTGCCCTGCGACCGTGCCATGTTCCCCAAAGACGAGCCCTCTGGCATGGACGGTGACAGAGTGTATTGTTGAGCTGCGAACGCGTTGCTCCTGCGTGTATTTCTGAGCAGCTGCGTCTGCCACGTCTCTTCCTTGCTTCAAGGAGTTACCTGAGTTCTTGGAGGGTTGTTTCAAAAACCTGTCGGTCTTCATTTTTCCCTCCACCTCATCCAGCTCCTCCTCATTCTCCTCCAAAACTACCTCCTCTCTTTGCCTCCCAGCTCTACCTGCACGGCTCAGGGAGGGCCACTTGTTGAGCTCCTGCCGTGCCCTGCCCAGCCTCGGGCTGTTCTCCATTGGCACTACACTCATTTTCTCTCCTCCTGGATGACAATTCTCCACCAGGGTGTGGATGACCCGGCCCATTCCGCGACCTGACACCAGTGCATCTCCCTGTGTTTCTTTCAGGGTGACAGAAATGTGGTAAACGGTTTTCCCCTGCTGCAATTGGTCAATAGTTGTACTCCTTGGGGTTGCATCCACCGCCCCGCTGCTGAAGAATAGCATGGCACTGCACTGATTTACACAGACATCCTTATTCACACACTAATACAGGCACATAGCATGGACAAATGTTCACATCCTGCCTGGAAGTTGTTGAGGTTGAGCTCATGAAGTCATTCATTGGACGCCTGAATTCCTATGCCAGGCATAATCCTTCACCTTTGACATGAGAAAAAAACTTCAAAGAAGTTAAAGTAAAGCCTCGCTGGCACCTGCATCCTCCGGCTCGTTTACTCAGCAGACTCACTCAGCTGCTTTCTCCAAACACTCTGTTCTACCTGCTCTGCACAAGCAGACGAACAAAAGAAAAACACGATATCCACTCCTTGTTATGTAACAAAGGCAAATCTGTAAAAGCTGCAAAAGTTGCAACTTGGACAAAAAACAGAATCATCCTTCCTCTTTGGCAGGTTACGAACTGTGAGCACTCCTTGTTGTCGGTGCAGACAAACCCCTTAATCTCTGAGCTCTCTCCATGCAGAGCATGAGGGAGTGTGTCTCTGTTTGAACTTTCAGCTGCCTTCCAACCCCCTGGATACATGGAAAACAAGGAGTGGATCCCACGGGCATTTAACACACCCTCCTGAGCTGCGAGTAGCCCCCTGAGACACCAACAGACAGAAGTGAGCATGAGATTGAGAGAAGACAGAGCTGATTACACATTGCTGTAATCAACAGAGACTGCAACCCACAACAAAACAGCCATGAATGGGCTCTTTGTGTTCCTCTGACCTGTGGCAACACACTAAACCAGGGGGATACCTTTTCATATTTAATGGAAGAGAGAGCAGTGCGAGCTACGTACTTTATTCATTAACCCACATTTTAACAATTACCTAAGTGAAGGATTGTGGTTAAAAAAGAAGCTCTGCCTCTCAACACAAACGTAACCTGTGTTAGTAACATGGAGTATCCACACAACTACACACCACGCTTCCAGTGGCTGCCACTACACAGCCCACACACTGTGGGAGAGCTTTAGTTTAATACAAAAACCGACGGACAACTATTTATGGTGAAGAAATTGGAAGCAAAAGAAGAAGAAAATGCTTCACTGGACATTACATATCTCTACATTTACTCCCCAGGCTCTTTAGCATTAAACTTAATGGTGAAAACTATAGCATTGCTAGCCAGCGAGGAGAAAATCCTAAAGCAAACAGATTTTGTATTTTACTGTCCTTTCTTTTTTAGAGTTGTGGTGGTTTCCGATTAGTTACTGTACCGTAATATAAAGCACCTTCTAAATGGAGCCAGGTTAAACATGCTCTACAGCACTGAAACACTGCCCCTCTGTGGTCAAAAAGAGAAAACTGGGGATTTTTTTTCCTGAGGCCACATTGATACTAAT